CCCTGGGGGTCTTCAAGAGGAGGTTAGATAGGCATCTAGCTGGGGTCATCTAAACCCAGCCCTCTTTCCTGCCTATACAGGGGGTCAGACTCGATGATCTATTGAGGTCCCTTCCGACCCTAACATCTATGAATCTATGAACCTAACTGATATCAGTAGAGTGCACCAGTGAAAATAACAGAAAAGGATGGTCTGGTAAATTATTTGTCAAAGATGTCTGCAACCTTAATTCTGAGAGGAAGACTGAGAAGAGAATTAAAAGCTCTTCTGATGAAAGCTTCTGGTTTCTTCTTTGATACAGCAAGTGCTTGAGGGGTCCTTTTAATCTACTTTCCACTCACTCAACGTATCTTGCAAGGTCAAGACTAGAAGAATTAGCACACACGATTACTTGATCAGCTGTGATTAGGCAAAATTATTCCTCCAAGAAGAAGGGACTTCTCATATTTAACTTACTGTTGTTGTATCTAATTGCCATTGATTTTATGATAGTTTGGACTCAGAGGGCCTGATCCTGTAGTCTAACCATAAATCAATTTCATTGGCAGCAATGAAAATACATTAATAGGCCTACAATGTACCAGAATGAGGAAAAAACACCATAATCTCTTTCCAAGCATCTTAAAAACCACTGGTCCAACCTTACTAGGCATTCTAGATCCTAGGAAGGAGTTTAAGTGAATTCTTAGGAACCCACTGATTTAAAGAGTAAAGTAAATTTCTACCACTGTACCACAGCTGCTATTTCACGCCTAGGACTGCTGCTAAGAAATGCACCCCACCCATTTATTGTCGCACAGCATATGTCAAAATGCAGAAATAAGCCAGTGTAGGTCCTTGGTTTAGAGCAGCTATGACTATGCATCAAGAACCATGCCAGAGAGTACTGCTAGGTTATGTGCTTTGGGCTGCTTTAAGCAGATTACATTGTCTCATTTCACTGCTTTGATGTACACTGAATAGGAAGATGCATCAGCAGCCCTTTACTTGTTTTAGAGTCAGTATAGACAAGTGCTACATGGGATGTTTAACCTACCTCATCCCTGTTGCCCCTTAAGGAAGAAGCCACTTTCAGTTTTACATATTACCCTACTTTGATTAACTTTTTAGATCTAAGCAATAACTTCCACAAAGAAAGCAGGCGTAAGTGTTTTGAATTTAGACCCATCCTACCCAAGGTGGTGAGAGGAGGTAATGCTCATGCAAACTTCCCTAGCTGTTTCTGAATGTAGGTGGTAGCTTATATAAACCTGTTTTCTCAAATTCTCTTTTTCTCAGTGCAAACTACCTTTGTATGTGAACCCCAGCTATAATATTGTCAGTCTCACATTTGGAAAGTAGCCAGCTTTTGGCTAAAGCTAAGGATGCTGGTTACATACCAATTATTGGCAAATAATTGCCTTCCTATTTAATGTCACTGCCATCTTTTTGTTTAATTTTTAATTTGACAAACTGCAAGAGTTGTGAAAGGTTGGGAAACGTGTCTGGTGAGAGAGCCTGATCTGTGAGTGTCTCTCTGTATCTGTATATAATCTCTATATTCTGGAAAAGGACTCAGAAGAAAATAACCAGATCTGGTTCCAGAAAGCTATCAACCTCAATTTGACCTATGGAACAGCCAGGGTTGGTACTCATCCAAAACTCAGGTTCGAGTTTAATCAAACTGAAATCTTTCAAAGCATTTTCTGTAAGATTTCAGCCTTGCATGATAGCAGTCTTGTGAAGTCAGGTAATTTTGTGATAATTTCATTCAGCGTAATGAAAAGCTCTTATGATAAGTTAGTTTTGCAAGATTTTCATGATCTTCTTTTGAAATACCATTACGATAGCTTTTCTTTAAAGATTTCTACAGTATTGCCTTATATCCAATAAAGTTCTAAAAAAAGTGTCATAATCAGGCCCTGAGTGTTTCAGTAGTTTTATCAGCATGGCACAATATACAGACTTTGACTCCATTTTTGTCTTTTATATGCTTAACTCCTTGATGCTAGGTCCTTATTTTTATCATTGGATTTTCATGTCAACTGTCAGGACAGAGAGACCCAAAGCTCTCCAAATACGTGAGCAAGTGCCAGCTTGGCATTTATTTGGAAACACCCTTTTAATGTTTCTTTCAAAGGCTCCCTCTCTGCTTCTGGCCTTTGTACTGTATCAAGTTCTATAGCTGGAATTCACCATTATCAGAGCTCCATAGTACAGACATTTCTATTTCTGTACTCCCTAATGCGAGACTAAGCAAGGTGAGATGAACCAGGGGTAAAAATGTCTGTGGCCAGACCACACTACTGTTTCTGGCAATGGATCAAAACTGCTGGTGAGTTGTGGCTCTGAGGTTTGCTAGCGCAGGCTGGCCAGGGGAATATTTTTAAATGACATTTCCCTAAAAAAACAAATAAACCACACACTTCATTTGCACAGCCTTCCTACCAGCTGCAGAAACTTACCTATTTGGCCTTCTTGTGAGAGCCAATAAAAACATATAATTAAAATCTGAACATATACCTCCTTTCACTCTCCCCCTCCCAGCTGCAGATTCCTAAGCTGCTTTCTTGTTTTGATGCATGACTTCATAAATATATTTAAAACTAGAGAATATCACTTTTTCCTTTGCCAGCTGCCTTTTGACTGCTGAGCTCCACCCTAGTTCTCCATTCTGAGTCATGACTTTTTGCAATTTCACTTTTTAAAACCACCTTCTCCTTTTTCTTATCCGAGCTGTTAATTCTTGTCTCTTTTTTCCTGAAGTTGATACTGAAGCTATGAGCTGTTCTTCAGAACCCTTAAGCACAGGTGTATGGGGTATCACAGAAGGGGTTTTATGCTGGTTGTGTCATGAGATAATCTTTTATATCAGGTCTAGTAGATATTCTACAGTAACAAGGTGCGTGAGCCATTTTTCAGGGTTGATTGAGACCTTGAACGCCCCCTGGTAAGTCATGAAGAACCAGTGACTAAGATAAACAGCATATGGTGTTCTTTCACTAAAGTTTGAAGGTCAGATTCTCAGCTCTGCTCATCCAGCTTTACACCATTATAACAACACAGTAGTGATTTAAAGCTGCTTTAAATGGACAGTTGGGGATTCTCCTGGCATAGAGAAGTCCATAAGTGGTAGAAATTTGGTAGAACTTTACCAGCTCTCAGCTTTATACCTCCCCTTTCTGAAACAACCATCTATACCCTGACAGCTTAGGCTGTTTAGAGAGATGCTAAGCCAGGAGATGCACTGCTCTCTACTAGCCTTTCTATACTTGCAAAAATTGAGGATCCCAAGGCTGCACTTAACTGTTTCATCAGGCTGAACTGACAATTCCATGGGAAAATGTCAGAAATATCTGATGCTGTCAAATTATGATGAACCCAAGGATGTGACTCTGGCTGTATTATTATTATTTGCGATATTTTAGTATGAGTAAGAAGTCTTCAAAATCAAAATGTGAAGGAAAGACGTCCCAGGAGAAGGCAGATGTTATATGGCTGAGGACATGTAATATCACTTAAAGAATTTGCACCTCAAATATCTGAGAATGGAAGGCAGGTGTGTGAAATTGAGTTCTGTTTTAGGGATAGTTTTAGTAGAGGAATCCTTTCCAGTTTTCCAGTTTGCTTTCTTATTTGTTTTGTGTGCTTTCTTCAGATATCTATGTAACAGGGAGTCCTGTTACTTAAGGGAGAATTGCAGTTGGGTCAGCTGGCCCAGGAAGGGCTAGCAGCTAAAAGAACAAACCAACTGCTAGCAGAGTGATAGCCAGAGCCCGGATAGCAAAACAAGAACCAAAACAAATTGAGCTGTGAAAAGTCAGGCAGTGAGAAAATGCTGCTGCCTAAGCAATGAGCTACCCATCAGGGGAAAGGGGACACACCTGTAGGCATCCTAGGGCAATCACATGGCAAGAAAGGGGCAGGGCTCAGAAAAATGAGGCCGAGCCCGAGCCCAAGCCTGAGCTCAGGCAGTCAGTTTGGCGCTGAAGGCCACTGGGGAAAGAGCTCTGCTGAGAGAGAGAGAGAGAGGCCAGTTTCTGGGTGACTGACAGATCCTGCTTTGCCAGTGCTGTTACAAAAGGGATGAGGGCTGGCAGGGGGCAAAGACTAAGTAGGGACCGACATGCAAACAGTGAGCTAAGAGTTTAGTTGTGGCTGGGGGGGCTTATGGTTTTCGTTTGAGTTTTGACTGGAGGACTGGGTTTGTGACTGTAGGGAAGGTTTGGAGGTCCTAGAGCAGCATGCAAGGCTTGAACCTGCAGGGAGGAAGTCACAAACTGCAAAGTAGCCTGGAGGGGCTGTGAGAAGGGCCAGGGGTCCAGCAGTCCAGGAGGGGCAGAGATAGGGCTAGGGCCCAGTGCCTTTAAAAGGGCCAGGGGCCCAGAGTGAAAGACACAAGGGCCAGGGGCCCAGAGATACTGACAACCGAAAGGGCTGGAGCCCAGAGGCCAGGTAAAGCATGGTGGGCCTAGGCTGGAGGAAGTCCAGTGAGAGAAAGGGGGAAGAAGTTTGGGAAAGCAGAAGTCCCAACAACAGTTTTAAGAGTTGACTTTGTAGGGTGGGGGTAGGCAACCCCTGGTACAGGTGCCCATATGTGGCACTCAAAGGCATTTTGCTTGGCACATGTGCCTCTGGGTGGATGGTGGGGAAGGGGCCAGGGTTACCCAGCCACAACAAGGATTGGGACCCTCATGGCTCCCCTGCCACCCGCCCCTGGCACAACAACATCTTACAAGTTGAAGTTGCGGGTGTTTTTGGCACTCTGCCCAAAAACGTTGCTGACCCCTGTTGTAGGGGGGTAAGGTGCCCCTAGAATGATTAACTTTTAACACCTGTGAGACCCAGGCATGGTTACAGATGATATCAGAGGCCACAAAATTAGCCCTTAATGTGATTAGTGCCCAGGAGGCACAGACAGGCCAGCTCACTTAGTGCTTGAAAGGTGAAATTGAGACTAGTGGGGTCCAGGAGGGACCTGCCAGATGGCAGATAGTCGCCCAAATGAGCCTTCATTTATCAGGCAGCCTCCATTCTTACAAATTAACCAAGTACATCAAGGCATGGCAGACCAGAGAAAAAGGGTGGGTACCCATAGAGCCAAAGTGGGACAGGTATTGCTTGGCCATGAGAGAATATCACGGTCATCTCGGACATACTACAGTCATTCTGTAAGGTTTCTACTGGAAGGATTTAAGGATAAGAATAAAAAGATGTATCAACCTGATTCCATTAGAAAGACAGAAGTTGCTACACTGGATTCGATTAGTGGTCCATCTTACCTGATGTCCTGTCTCCATAAGTACTATATATTTCAGAGAAAGGTTTAAGATTCTCAAACAGGAATATAACATTTTGACTGCAGGAGAAGGCAAGTTTCTTCTGAACTTCAGGCACTTGTCAATTGTCTTGTAGCTTGAAGAATGAAGTAGGATATCTGGATATAAGGCTATTTATACAATTGCCCACTGCCACATTCATACAAATCTCCAATGTTATAGGCAGATAGCATTGCAATGTAATCTATAGACTCCGTATCCATACTTTGTTTTAGACAAAAGAAACTTTAAAATCAGGGAAATGTGAGTTAAGAGATGAACTAACTGCTATTGAGAGAAACCTGTGATGTGAAAGCAGCATTAAGAAGAGTCTTTAGAGAAGAAAAGTATCAGATAGTTTAGGTAGGAGGATGGGAGTCATAACACTTAGGAGCAGATCCTCAGTTCATGTAAATTGGTTTCAATGTACCAATAACAACTTATCTTAGCTGGAGACCTGGCTCTGGGTTTTCCTCCCTGCTCTAAGACTGGCTCATCAAGTGGCCAGTATCAAGCTATTTAACAGGTCTGCATCCCCTTTTTTCTATCTGTAAAGTATACATATTTTTAGAGTTTATTGAGATTCATGATTGAAAAGCAGCAGAGGAAAAAAGTTATTTGTTCCTTGGACTTTAGGTGGCTTTATTGGATAGCGTTGGCAGTACTTACAAGAGCCAGTCAACAGCAACAAGTAGACTTATATCCTGAGTGGGTAGGCCTACTGCAGTGAGGATCAGCAGCATGGTGACCAGGCCTGCACTGGGTATACTGGCAGCTCCAACACTTGCTAGGGTGGCCGTCAGACTGTAATAAATAAAACACAAGGCTAGGTAACAGAAAGAAGAATGTAACTGTCAATGTGAACTCACTTCAGTGACTTTTCCCAGGACATCCAGGGCTACATAATTCTTGAAGATAAGCTCAGACCATAACGTTTAGGATTCTGTCCCTTCAGCAACCTGAATTTAAGTGTTCAAATCTGAGGGAAGAGGGGGCTGTTCAAACTTCTATAAGCATAACGTCAATTTATAACTTTCATACGTTCAGACTTCACTTCGTTTTTTAATTCATTCCAGTCTTTTTAGAGCCAGACTTCAAAGCCATTACTTTTGCTTAGATCCATCTCTCCATTCCAGCTAGAACGGTTGTGACTGTAGGATTGTAGGCTGAGCTTCCAATGTGGTTCATGAACAATTACTTATGGTATTTGAAGTGTGAGATTTTGGTTTGGAGGAATGGGTTATTGTCAATAAAAGATGGGGAAAAGCCTAAGAAGTCTGCTCTCCAAACTTTGTCAACCTGCAATGCACAGAGTCCAGCTATAAACCCATCTTAGTTCTGATCTGAAAAAACCCTAAAATAAATTTTTTAAAAAATTCAAAACCAGCTAATTAGGTTTTTCAAACCTTCATTCTCACAAGTATGAGGCTGAAAGGAAAAACAATAAATCTCTGTGCTCAGTGTGTTGAAAGTTTGGGAGGAAAAAAAAAACCCTCCCTACGGACAGCACTAAACTTCAGAGATATTGGGCATTCCTTTGCAGAACGGAAAACAAATTAGACAGTGGGAGCGCCAAGAAAAATGAAAAAAAGAAGTCTCTGTCTTTCTGAAATAATCCCATAATTAACTAATAATCTGAGAAGATAGGTACATCCAGGAAGATTTAAAGGGCTTCCAATAAGAAGGTGGGGCAGTATGTGTCTTCATAGGGTAAGTGCCTGACTATAAACTACAGTGCTTATTTGTGAGAACAAAACATATTAGCCTGACTACTATATCCAAGATTTGGTGGGTTTTGTTTTTGGTTTAAAGGACGATACACACATGAGCAGATATAAAGAGCAACTGGGGCTGGTCAAAGGAAAAATACTAAGTTATCTTAAGCCTGCATTGGGTCATCTGAACCCAACCCCACCATTATGAGTTGAGTTTGGCAGACATAAGATGACCTTCCCGTAATCTGCATTACCAACCCAGGGGACAGTATCCCAGTGTTGCAACAAAAATATCACCCCATCATATTGCTGAAGGAACACGGCTGGCAATTTTGCTCTGGCTAGCCCAAAAGAACGCACTGCATTATGTAAAACAAATTTTAAAGCAGCCTCTGGGAAAGTCCATAAAGTCAACTGCACCCACATAAAAATTTGAGTTAAGCATGAGACAATTCATCAGAGTGGGACTAAGAGGAATAATACAGGTTTTAGTTTACAAAGCCCAGTGACCATCAGTGGGGCCCCAAGCTTAACTTTTCTGGCATCCAGTGTTACATTTTCAATTTATCTCTAACATTATTTTTTTTAGGTCTAAAAACAATATTATTATCCAAGATCTATCATCTGCTTTTGTGAGAAACAGCCCAAACCCAATTTTACTATACTAGGTAAATTGCAGGAAGCAAAGAAATGGAAAATGTTCTTCTAATATAGTTAGGCAAGCAACACAACATTAGAAATTCCAATCCAGGTGCTTCTTTAATCTAAAAAAAGTTAAACTGAAAGGAAGGTGGGTGGTTTAGAGACACAGGAAAAAGGCAAAGTTGGCAGCAATCACATGTGGTTTACATTGTAATGATTCAAAATGTCAGGGTTGGCGTATTTGTCAGGTTTTCCATTGTAAAATAACTTCAGCAGCACCAGTCATAATTTTGCCATTCTCTTTCATTACACAAAGGATTGAATATGACCTTAAACTGGATTACAGTAAATGTTCCAAAAATATTCTTACTCAAGTTGAATGTGTACTTTCCTTTGTGTTTACAGCTATTTCAACTTTGTCCTATATAAGGTTATTTGAGAAGAAGAGCTATGTCCATTATATTCTGGGTTAACGGTAAACAGACTGATGGTATCTCTACTAGGGCTGTGCAAAGCTTTTGGTCCCTGATTCAATTCGGCAGAGATTTGGCCTGATTCAGTGTCTGAATCTCTGAATCCGAATTGAATTGGAACCCTCCAAATTGATCTGGAAAAATTCAGCGATTTGGATATGGACACAGCTTTAAAAGGGTTTTCTACATACCTCTAGGTAGCAGGTGGCTTGTGAATGCTGCAATGCTGGGATGAATGGTGCATCCCACAGGAGCGAGAGGGGTTCCTAAGCATGTTTTGCAGCAGACCCGGAAGTGGACCACTTCCAGTTCACCTCTGGGTCCACTGGGGAGCACACTGGTGGGTCCCCCTGTGCCCCCCTGACTCAGAGACTGCTGCCTTCTGGGTCTGGAGCGGGGCACTCAGGGTTCCCCCATGGCCTATCACCAAGCCAGGGTGGCACGGCGGGTGGGCCCTGCATGCTCCCTGGCAGACCCTGAAGTAGAATAGAAGTACTTCTTTTCCACTTCTGGGTTCACTGCTGAGCACGTGGAGCGCCCCCCCCCCCCCCCCCCCGCCCCCGCACTCCTGTAGGACACTCTATGTGCCCCAGTATCGCAGTGTTCATGAGCCGTGCTGGTACCTCGAGGTATGTAGAAAAAACATTTAAAGCTGTGTCTGTGTCTGAATCACTGATTCTCTGAATCAGCATCAAATCTTCAGATTCAGATTCGGCTGAATCGAATCAAGGACAATAATCCAAATCAACTAATCAAATTATTGTCCCTGATTCAGGCTGAATCCGAATCGAATAGGGCCCGCTTCACACACCCCTAATCTCTACCATGACACTACAGTCTGTAGAGTAGACATGCCCTGGGATAGATAGAATAACAAGACTTTTAAGAACACTTAAAAGAACACTTAAAAAGGACACTTTTCTGTACAGATAGCTGACACTTTAGCTGGGGCTAGATCATCACATACATACTACACCAATGCTTATTGCTAATGCAAGCCTGAATTCATTTGTGCATCTCATAAATTTTTGGGGGACTGCAATAGCCAAAATAGACCCCACACAAGTTTAAAATTATGGAAGGAATTTGTGACAGCATCTTGCATTTCTCAGGGAAACATTCTGCTACTTAGCTGTTTGCTAGAATTGATCACTCTCCAGTCATGATCTTTCTCACCATCACCTACTCTCACCCTGAAAATGTCCTGCACATTACCATTATTTCTTTCAATAGCCATAGAAGCAGAAAGGGAAAAAAGTGATAATGGGCTTATTTTGTGTGTCTCCGTCAATTGTGGCAGGCATGGACTTTCTAGAGAGTGAATGCCATAAACATGATTCAGAACATTCAGCTGGAGCAGTCAATTAATATATTATTGCTCTGGATGGAGAAAAATCTTGCCCTGTCTTTTGTACTTCTCTGTACAGATGTTGCTCAATTGGAGCATACAATCTAAATAAAACATGTGCTAAGTGTTCCTTGCAACAATGCCCTAAAGATCCACAGCCATTCAAAAGGTCAAGCCATTACCAAATCTTCACAGTTCATGATCTTCAGATAAAAGATACACAGAGGTATATAGGACCTACCTCACAGTGACTATCTGCCCACCATCCAACACCACTCCATTCATCTGTGCAATGAAGATGGCAGCCACTGCTTCATAAAGGGCAGTCCCATCCATGTTAATAGTGGCTCCAACAGGAAGGACAAATCTTGTTACCCGTTTATCAATGCCTAGGTTTTCTTCAAGACACCGAAAGGTGACCGGTAATGTACCAGCACTGGAAGAGTGAGCAAATAAATGGAGGAGAAAACAGTTTTATGACACACACTATTCTTGCATGCTTCATAGATTCATAGACACCAGGGCCGGAAGGGACCTCAGAAGGTCATCGAGTCCAGCCCCCTACCCCAGGGGCAGGAAGTCAGAAGGGATCATAGGATTTTCAAAGTTGCTGCTCCATTTTCATTCTCTACTCTGCCATAGGCAGCAAAGAGAGCAAGATTAAGCATATGCTACTGAATACTATGGGAAAGACCAATGCTTAATGTAAAGTTTTCGTACTTCATTGCCAGGAAAATATGAACATTGCTATATTTTTTCCCCTTTCTTTGCCAATTTTTTCTCGTGCTTCAACTTACATGTGACCCAAAATCTGTCTTTGTCACAACCCAAAGGTGTGATTTTTGTTTTGTGTGTGCTTTGGCACCACTGAATTATGTTCCCACTAAATTGCAGCTTCTTTGCATGGTGGAGTTTTCTGCTGCAGAGGAAAGCCCCAGTGCAAAAGAATTCCCGCCAATTTGTAGCTTTCTTTGCAGGGTGCATTTCTTTGTTGCAGCACAGAAATGCTCGTTGCAAAGAGTTCCCGCCATTCGTATTCAAATTCGAGC